AAACGTGGGCTTATCCTTATCCTTATCCACCCCTTGAATTAAACACAGCCTCTTTAGGAAAATCTTTTTACATTACCAACTACAAAAATTCTTATTCTGTGTGTTTCTTGATGTTCACAGACATCAATGGGTGCATATTGATATATTGCTGGTTTGCACTCTAAGTCATCTCTACATTAGACAAAGTGACAACACTGAGTGACGTATTGCTTTCAAAATAACAGTCATCATGTAAAATAAATATATCAGATAAGTTTGTTAAGAATTCTTGTATCCGTTACTTCCATTGCGTCTTACAACAACTTAAGTTTCGTTTGGGCTCGCTATTTTCGGAGGATAGTTACTTACATTCGGAATATGCTAACAGCCATTGTCGCTGTTTTCGAGGGATTTTTATTTTACGGTGTTTCCTTTCTGTTTGATATTTCGTTCATTGAGTTGCATTCACTACATTTAACAAAAATTTACGAAGTAACAACTGCACTTTGAGCTTCATGTACCTGTATAACAGGATGATTTTCTGGCTCTAAGCCATCCTGCTCCTAAGTACTACTAGTACTACGCATGCCTAGAATCGAACTGATAATTTGTTAACTTCATCACACACACTAGTCGTCACATTATTTGTATGTAACCTTCTATGATCTAATCGTCTAAATCGTTGAAATGATGCTTCACGCTTGACTGTGAAGATATCATGAATTCGATTATTACACATCAACGGAAAATTACGCTCGGTCTTCATCGAGGGGAGGGGGGTAATAGGCACTTTACGCAGGGCTGGTGGCCCAGCTTCTGAGTTATAGCAGAAAAAAAAAAATTATACTTTTACAAATTAGCTNTGGTGGCCCAGCTTCTGAGTTATAGCAGAAAAAAAAAAACTATTATACTTTTTTTATATAAGTGACTACCTCAGTTATATATACCGTCGAAAGTTAAAGGAACATCTTCCTTTTTATCTCTTTTAATATGCTGTGTGGCCAACCTTCACTGAATCCTTCACTCAATAAAACGCCAGCTAATCATACAGGCTATGGTATATTCACCCGGCTATTCATTTGAATGTGCGTAGTGTATATTTTTCTCAACGTTCTACTTTCGGTTTTTCAGCCTTCTCCTATCGCTTCTTTCGATTCAGGGCTCATGTTGACCGTTCCATTTTAATAGAATCAAAATGTTTCTACTGCGTAGAGATCTCAGAAGAATACAGTTTGGTAAAAAAAAAAAATCAAGATACACTTTGGTCAAGTAAGAAATTTATTACATCAACAAAGTGTAACGTTTTAATTTGGAAAAAAAAGGGTCATCTGAAACAAATATCAGATCAACTTGCTTCGAATTGTTGGATCTGTTTTTCTAGTTGC